CCTGTCTAAGTGCCCTTGATAATAGAATCTGCCAGGTTCTTCTCATCCACAAGCTCGGCGGCGGTCGCATCCATCTTCGACCTCGAAAAATCGTCAATAGGAAGACCTGCACAGTGCACAGCCATACACAGTCAACAAAAATCCGCTACTCCATCCACAATCAAAGGCACTGGTTACGGAAACAAAACCAGGGAAACCTACAGACACAGAAACACTGACCGAAAACATAAAACGGCGTCCGACCAGACCCCCCGGATTGACACATCTGGGACCTAAGTTCCTGTCCAGCAGCCCGCTCATATTTGCTTTTCCATCGTAACAGTTCTTTTTATCTTCGACTGAAGCATACGACTCCTGCCGCGGGGTTCTTTATCTATTGGCCTCGCTCAAGTACTCAAATACTCTAGATGTATCTGGAGCTCATTGTTGTCCCGATACATTGCGAATGTGGGAGCCCAACAAACGCACCTAGTCCAGAAAGGTGTCACAGTAGATGTGAACTGTCGAATAGTGGAGCGATGGCCTACGACTTTTCTTTTCTTCCCAGTCGTGTTGAAGGTCATTACCCCACTGTGGACACTCACAATGCGCAGGTCAGCGTTCCTCGTTAACGCCAAATTCCCGATGGAGACGGTCGCATCCATAGAACACATGATGGAGAGCTTTCTTGTCACATACGATCTCGAAAGGGGGGTCCATTATTTTCACCCTGCCCCAAACCACTATGCCTGCACATCTTGCGCGTGTGCTCCTCGTACTGTCAACTTGAAAGCAACCGGTCTACTTCCATCACCTTCACTACCACTACCGTCTTCCCCCGAGCACAACGCACCCTCATTTTGACTGCATCGGACCGGAAACACGGCTTGTATACGTTCATTTTCAGGGTGCGGGAAGACGGTAGACCCGTACCGACGGGGAAACTTACAGATCCCCACCTGACAGAAGGTTTGTACTCATTTCATCGCCCGAAGTGTCGGATGCCCCGAAAGGCTTGAAGCCCGGGGAGGATCAGTTCCTTTCGCCACTACCT